CAGCACCCACCTCAGCAGCCACGTCAGGGGCCCGGTCAGCAGCCTCGACCAACCAGGACCCGCCGCGTGGCAAGACAACGCTGATCAGGGAACGGGCCACGTGGGCGATCCGCGTGCGCGCGATCGGACAGCCCAGATCCGTTCCCGCGCGCACGGACAGCCCAGATCCGTTCCCGCGCGCACGGACAGCCCAGATCAAACGTGCGCACGGACGACCCAGATTCACGCGCACGGACGGTCCAGATTCAATCAGGCAGGACGACTCAGATTGCATCGCGATGAACGACCCAGATTTAATCCCAATTAAATCGCGATCGAACGACCCAGATTTAATTTTGATGGACGGTTGAGATTAAAAGGCAAAGGGTATAAATAACCCCACCCACACCTGACCGTAGGGAACCCTACCGGGAACGTGACCTCTCATATCGGACGGGATATGGAGACCTTATGTGTTTTGGCGCCCATACCGGTCGGGGTATGGGGACGACCCGTTTCACCCTCATACCAGACGGGGTATTGAGGTTCATGGTTTTGGCGCCCATACCGGACGGGGTATGGGGACGGCCCTGGAATCAGGTTGTAAATGTTAATGGTTCACGTGCAGAGGGAACCCCCTATGGATCCCCAAGGATACTAGTAGGCTGGTAAAAGAGGAAATCTGTTTCCTGATGATTGAAATGTAAAGGTGTGATATATGTTATGTTATAAAGTGTGTATGATTTCATGATATTATAGGGTTATTGTTTTCATATGTTGTTTTCATGGATCTCATCGAGGTAAGTGGACAGTAAAGGATTTTATTATTGATAAATGAATTTGTTATAAATTATGCTCCATTGGTCATTTTTGTTTTCTACCCACATTTACTTCCGTAGCGATGAGATAGTGTGATGTATTTACTGGGCTGGTGTAGCTCATCCCTTATTTAAACATTTCAGATCAGGAATACGTTGTTTCCGAGCCCGTTCTGCAGGAAGACGGCGAAGGAGACGCCTAAAGACTTTATAGTTATATTTATAGTTTTTATTTCGAGTATCTCTCTTAGTTAGTTTGTTCCTTCATATTTTGAGTACGTTTTGGTTATTGTGTAAGGGATGTTAATCAAAATTTTTATTACGCTTTCGCATTTGACATTTTTAATACATATAATTCATTTAAATTTCCGGGGCCGTTACACGATCAGCAAGAGAGTTGTGAGTAGTTCACTATTCGGACTTTCTTCAAGTGTTAGTGAAGGTTGTTTTATGATGTTTAGTTATTCACTTTTCGTTTTATTTCTTTAATTTTCGTTTCTTTTAGAAATGACATTCACATAATCCTATTGGACATTCAAAATTATTGTATAAAGACTATAAACCCTAACTCTATTAATCGCTTCCGCACTAAATTTATGAATTTATTTCATTTTAAGCTCTGGACCTCTACAATCTAGACCATTGATTTTTTTTTTTTTAATCAAAATGGTGTCATTTTGAAGGAGATAGGTTGATTTTTAAAAATTATAGAATGACCCCAAATCTTATAATTTTAATCATTTAGGCTTCTATTTAATTGCAGAGTAGACTAAACTCTCAAATTTATTTTCAATTTGGCCATCTTTCCAATTTTATTATTTATTATTTATTTATTTTTAGATTACATTTTATATTTTTAGGATTCCTTTTTTTAACTTCTGAAAATTTTTCTAATGCTTAAATAAAGTCTCTACAACATGAATTTGCATTCAAATTTTAACTTACTCAAGACGTATCACTACATATATATATATATTTAAAATTTCAAATGGTTATCAAGCTATACATAATAAAATTTTAAAAATTTTTAAGTGCAATTAAATTGGTTGACAATTCTCAATTTAATCAATTTTATTTTGATGATCAATGACTTCAGTATATACTAGAAAGTTGGGGAAAAATTTTACAAAATTATTATATGGGTAATGTATAATTTATAGGAAAGCACATTAAATTTAATTAACCCTTATTAGACAAATTTCAAGGGCAAGGTGTGTCATTTAAATCAAACTAAATTAAATTATTAATTATGTTTACTGAATAATTAATATATTTATTTTTTAAATAAAAAATTATAAATTTAAATTGAATTATATTTTTGTATATATTATTATTTAAAAATTATTATAATTAGTATATATCTTTCATTAATTAAAATATATGAATTTATTAAAAAATTATTTAAATTAAATTATGCCACCAAAATCACAAATTTTAAAAAATAAATCCCCATTTAATGTTTATCGTGTTTGGGTGACTTTTATAGAGAATTGAGCGACAGCTCATGTGCCTCGTTGGTTTCCATTGGCCAGACTGACAAATTTACCATCCACAAATTGTCTCCTTTTGGCGGGTGCAAGCGCAATAAGGGGGATAAAACGCTGTCGTTCTGATGGTTTTCATTACCAGCAACAAAGGTGAAATTCACCCATCAAACGGCGACGTATGTAGTTTTAACAGTTTTGTTTCGGCCACGTATTTGGTTTTCAACAGTTTCTTTTCCCTTCCATTTCCGTCGAACGAAGGACTCTGTTCCCCGTAAGAAGGAAACCAATAAAAAAGAAGCAAGGCACCGAAAGTGTTATTGTTCTTCTCGATAACGATAATCTTCTGATGAGTTTCGTATTTTGAAATCATTTCTGCATAACCATTGAGGAAGCAGTTAGTCTTGGATTATCTAGGAAGTAATGGAGATTGATCCTGGTCCAATCAGTTCTTGCTCTAAAGAGAACCAAAAGATCTACCAAGAATGGTTCAATTATGCGGATTCAGGTGTGCATTTTCCTCTTTCTTTTGTTGTTCTTGAAATTTAACTGCAGTTGTTCTACGGACGTTGATAATCTGTTTGTTTGACGAGAAACGAGAGGAAAACTATTGTTGATTTTTAGTGCGAAAGTTGTTTTCATTTTTCCCCTTTTGTGAATATTGCGATTTTTCTGCAGATGGTGATGGTCGCATTACTGGTAACGATGCAATTAAGTTCTTTTCTTTGTCAAATTTGTCTCGCCCTGAGCTCAAGCAGGTTAAAGTTTCTCTGTTGTTTGCTTCTTGTTTTTCGTTTCGGCTTTTAGTATTCACTAATTGGATACTGTTCTATGTCAGGGTTAGTTAAGTCAAATTGATGAATTAGATTTGGTTTTCTTGTGGGTTTAATGGGAGTCGGTAATTTAGGATCATAGCTCTGGTCTATTTCAATAAAAGGAATCTAAAAGATTATACAGACCATATTGGCTTTTTAATCAGCAAAACCGGTGGTTGAGTTGATGATCTGACGTACTTAATAGCAAGTCATCATGAAGAACACAGTTTATTTTTTTCTTTTTTTTCTTCTCTGCTATGCTATTAATATGTGGCAACTAATCATTCTCAAGTATTGGTTTCAGACTTTGGAACTAAGGCACCAAATAGATTCGCTGGTTGGAACTTCACCATGAACACCCATTAAGTTAATTTTACTTATAGATCACTTGCTCAAAACTAACGACCTTTTGAATTTCTTAAGTTATAAATCAATGTGGTCAATCCGCTAAGTTTTGTAAGATTGATCCATCCTTAGTCGCAGCCTATGTTCAGTGGTGCTGTTTAGACCTTATGCCAGTTTTGTTTGTTAAGTTATTCCTTGCTGATTGTGATTTCCTTTTTTTACTTTCTTGTTCCGTTTTATTCATATTATTGACTAAAATTTATCCCACTTCTATCCTTCTTCTTTCCTCAAAGGTGTGGGCAATTGCGGATTCTAAGAGACAAGGATATCTTGGTTTGAAAGAGTTCTGCATTGCTATGCAGGTCATCATCAGCGTGGTTTTTACATTGGATTGCCAATTTATTCTTACAAACTAACTTAAGGGTTGTTTTCAATGTATAGTTAGTTTCTCTGGCACAAGGTGGACATGAAATAACTCATGATGTCTTTAATGGAAATGGTAGGCTGTTTAACTTTTAGCTATTTTTTGAAATGACCATCTGAGAACTAATATTATAAGTTGATGGGATAGATTCTGAATTACAGTGTTTGGTTGAAGTCTATCATATTCCCATTCAGTTTTTATATGCTTGATGTATAATTAAATTAATTCCACTCATATCTTCAATTTTATCATCATAGATTTATATCCTCATTTACAGGCAGCTCATAAAAACACCTAAATTGAATTGACATGAAATTAACCTACAGTTAGAACATTGTTTTTATTTAGATTTTTATCCAATTTGAATTGTCTTATTCCATACAATTAAAGTTTGAACCAAATTCAACCTTATATTCTTTGGTTATCTTCTCTATGCTGTGTAATCATTTAACATGCAGCTGAAATATTGTTTTAAATTGCAGTTGACTTTCAAAATGTGAAATCCCCTGCAATGGATGGTTTGGATGCATTATTGGCAGTAAGTATGATGTATTTATTTTGTAAAGATCACGTCCCATCTTGTGAATATTAAAAGTTCTTTTTCCTTTTATCTAAAAAAAAAAAAGGTTCTTTTTCCTTATTTGGCATGAAATCAATGCAGAAGAAGAAGAAACACTCGTCAAAGTCAAGTGACCCTGAAGTAAATGGTAGAAACTTTCTCATAATTACTAAAAATGGTTTATGGGTTTCTTAGGTTTTGTGTTGCATTCACTAATTGTCAGCAATGCAGGTAGTTCCCAAGTGCAATCATCACCTTCAGCTAATTGGTTTTCCTCAATGTCTTCAAAGAAGGTTTGTGTTTTAACTATAAACTCAGGTACAAGCTGGTAACTACTGCTATGCTTCTATTGCACCAGAGACAAATAGTTATTTTCCCTCCTGAGGGTTTGTGTTTTCCTTGTTTAGTTTGTTCTTTTCTGTCTATAAATAATGTTATTGAATAACAGCATTACTAATTGAACATTACACTTGTGTGTGGTATATCTGCATAGGATTTTGTGTTTAGAATATTCTTGCTACATATTCCAGATGTTTGATTCATGAAATGCACTAACAACATTTGCAAATGCTGCAATTATTCCTTGTCCTGCTGAGCTGCTTTATTATTGTTATTATTGTTTTAATGTGAGCTGCTTTATTTCATCACATTAATATTGGTGGAAACAGGAACATGAACCTTAGTTATTGATGTGTACTTCCAGGCTTCAAATTCAATGATTTCACGGTTCTAATGCTGCTACGAGCAGCTTTACTTCAAAAACAATACGAGATCAATAAAAATGGAAAACATATGAGTTCTGTAAAGACATTTCTTCTAGTTCCTAGATTTAATTTAAGATCATTTTATTTTATTAAACTGTCAACTTTGCTTCATTTTGGCAATGATGGTTGTTAGTGCTTTATACCTGCTGTGAGAATGATGCAAATCCTCACTAGTAGTTTATTGGTCTATGCTGTCACAGATGTTAGATTTTGTGGGAATGATAGTTTTGTCTATTCTATTATCTTGGAATAGTTAATATGTGGGAATGTGAGTTTGGTAGATGATGATGCCGATTGTCCTAGTTTTGAGGCATAATGAATGCAACTTTGTTTTATCATTATGATCTGAGAGTTGCAGCTATTCAGATTTGATACATTTGCTTTACTTTTTAAGGAGTTCTTAAGTTTATGCCTGGTACCTCTGATTTCATTTCTTTTTATCTTCAGACACGGAATTGTAATTGGTATATAGGATATCATGATGCTAGACGATGTTTCTTTGATCAATTTCTTACTATTTGGTTTCTGGATGGGCATGGTATGGAGTTTAGCCTTTGTGCCTGAATCGTTTTGCCATATATCAGGTACCTCTAGCCTCTGTTACTTCAATTATTGATGGCTTGAAGAGATTGTACATTCAGAAGCTGAAACCATTAGAAGTCACTTACCGTTTTAACGATTTTGTATCCCCATTATTGGTGAGTTGGCAACTCCATTTGGTTTTGTAAGAGGAATGTGTCTTGGTTGATCTTCATCTAGTTTTATCTGTTTTCCAATGTAGACAGAATTATTGGAGGATACTGATAATTTATGGTTTGGTGCAGACAAATAGCGATTTTGATGCCAAGCCTATGGTTATGCTTTTGGGTCAATATTCCACTGGGAAAACAACTTTCATTAAACATTTGCTTAAAAGTAGTTATCCAGGCAAGTACCGGCCCTGTTCTCTTTCTTTCTTCCCAGATTAGATTTTTTTTTTTTTCATTTTTGTTTATTTATTTGTTTTTTGATCATTTCTAACAGGAGCCCATATTGGACCAGAGCCAACAACTGACAGATTTGTTGTTGTCATGGTATATATCAAGTCCTTTAACTTATTTATTAACAACTTTGCCATTAATTTCATTAAATAAAAAATTCCCACCCCAAAGTTGGGACTGATTTCCTATTTGATTTTGCTGAAGCTTCTCAATGGTCATTTTATCCTCCAAGCTTCCATATTATGTCCCCATACTCTCTATTATTTTGTCCATGAAATTACTGTATTTTTAGCAAGGTTTTAGCATTATGGTCTACATTGAAAAGATGAACTTTCTTTCTCAAGATAACTACTCATCAACAATAAATGGTGGTGGAATGAATTTTCACTTTTAAGAGTAAACAGTAAGCTTGAAATAAATTAAAGAAGGTAATGCATATAAATAAAAGGAACATATCCGTTCCTTCTTAATATAATTTGGATTTGTTCCTTGAGATGTTCCTTCTTGGCCAGAGTATCCTTAGACAAAATTCTTGAATGGTTTTCTATAGTGAGAACTGCAACAATATCATTTTTTTTTTCAGGATATTATCCTTAAAAAACGATGAAGCTGATTGGTTAAAGCCGAAGCAGTTGTTCACAAAGTTGTATATCTATCCTTATTTAAGTTATGGTTATGTTTTGAAAACTTTAAATGCATTTCATATTACTAGTTTATATTTTGATTGTTTCTCTTTGCAACTTCTGGAACCTGCTCTTTGCCCGAGGATTGTGAGGTTTGTGCACTTACAGTATTGTAATTTGTGTGTTGTGCACCATTAGATAGAAAATTATTGAGGTTAAGAGACTAACTAGAATTGGAGCTCCTTTTATGAGGATTCAGAGTTGTATAGATGCATTAGTAGCATTTTTGTAAATATTTTCTCTGGAAGTAGATGCAAGCATTCATGTTATGAGACTGTAACTCAGATTGATTGTCTTCTGCCGTAAAGTGGAAGTGATATTGGCTGCCTTAGATTACCATCTTTTCTCCTGTCCTGGAATAGAATTTACGAGCTACTTTTTTCTAACAGTCTGGACCTGATGAAAGAAGTATTCCAGGAAATACTGTAGCTGTCCAAGCAGACATGCCTTTCAGTGGTCTCACAAGTTTTGGAACTGCATTTTTGTCGAAGTTTGAATGCTCTCAAATGCCACATCCTGTGAGCCATCAATCTAAAAACTTAGAATTATATTTTTACACTATTTCCTAAACCTCTAAAATACATCTTTACTTCCCTGAAGCTACTGGAGCACATAACATTTGTTGATACCCCTGGAGTTTTATCAGGAGAAAAGCAACGGACGCAGCGAGCTTATGATTTTACTGGTGTAACATCATGGTTTGCTGCTAAGTGTGATCTCATTCTCCTTCTATTTGATCCTCACAAACTTGACGTAAGTGATGAGTTCAAGCGTGTAATTTCATCTTTACGTGGTCATGATGACAAGATCCGTGTGGTCCTCAATAAGGCAGACCAAGTTGATACTCAACAAGTGAGAGCACTTTAACTCTCTGGTTTTCACATTTATTTGAAGTGGTCTTGTAGTTTATGCTCCTAACTTGTTTGCTTTGAATTTTAATATAGCTCATGAGAGTTTATGGAGCACTGATGTGGTCTCTAGGAAAAGTTCTTAATACTCCTGAGGTCGTGCGTGTCTATATTGGGTAGGCTCTTGATCTTCTATTCTTTAGATCTTAATCTTCTATTCTTTAGATCTTAATTTTTAGACCATTAACTTAGTCGTTATTAATGAAAAGTGTTTTACGTAGAAAGATCTGAAGAAGACACGTTTCTTGTACGTCTCTTTGTTACTTCTTCTCATGATGATAAGTTTTCATGTGTGAACCAAGCAGAAGAGAGGCTATGTTAAATTCCTCTGTTCCAGAATTTGAATGTAGTAGTTCTTATAAACATGTAGGAACTCTATGTTCTTATCACGTCTCCTTTTATTTTTTATAGTTCATTCAATGACAAACCTGTCAATGAAGCCGCTACTGGTCCAATTGGGAAAGAATTGTTTGAAAAAGAGCAGGAGGACCTTCTTTCTGATTTAAAAGATATTCCTAAGAAGGCTTGTGATCGTCGAGTGAGTTTTATTTTATCAATTTATTTTTCCTGTTTTTGTGTTTAGGAAATTGATAAATTTCACTCATGCATACTAAACACCATTCTTTGCATGGCATCAAGTTGATCATATTTACATATATTGGAGAAAATCCTAACGAGGTTTATGCTTCTCAGATCAACGAATTTGTAAAACGTGCCAGAGCAGCCAAGATACACGCTTATATCATCGGCCATCTCAAAAAGGAGATGCCTGCTATGATGGGCAAAGCCAAGGCTCAACAGAGACTCATCGACAATTTAGCAGACGAGTTTGGAAAGGTCTTATTTCTCTTATATTAGCACAGTTGACTGTTTAATTTGGCATCCATAATCATATTGTATACCTAATATGTATATACATAGGTACATATATAATCCTCATTTCGGTTTCATAGGTACAAAGAGAGCACCATCTACCTCCTGGAGATTTCCCTAATGTTGAGCACTTCAGGGAAATTTTGGCTGGTTACAATATTGACAAATTTGAGAAACTGAAGTCTAAAATGATACAGTCCGTGGACGACATGCTGGGGTATGACATCCCAGATGTCTTGAAGAATTTCAGAAATCCATATGACTAGGGCATCTTTAGAGTCTAATGGTAGGCTTAAATCATATGCCGTGCAATTATTTTACTTTCCCCCCAGATTTTTGGAAATGCTGGCATGTCCAATATCTGCAGGGATATATATATATATATATATATATGTATGTATGGAGGGAGGGAGGGAGAGAGAGAGAGAGAGAGAGAGAATTATCATGTTTTGATAAAGAGAAATAGAAATTAAGGAGTTCATATTGACACTTCAATATTTTCTATTGGTAGTCCTATTTTTTTGTAAATTAAATTAAATGGAAAAGTACCCCTAATAATCTGTTTACACTACTACAAATTTGGTAATGATATTAAATGCTATATATTCACTGATTACCCCTTGAAATTTAATTAATATTCTTTAATTTTAGATTTCCCTCATATTTTTTAGATTTATTTTTATTTTTTAGTATTTGCTTCTATTGATTCTTTTTAATCTTTTTATTGTTGGAAAAAAAAAAAAGTAGTTTTATGTTAAACTCAGTAGTGTTTTTTTGTCATATTGTATGTATATCAGTAATTATATTTATGAATATAATATCATTATTGATACTGCAACATCATTTATAACATACTGTACTCCAAGCGCCCACATGTCCCAGTACTCTTCTGATTTCCTCTGGTCCTGCATCGAACATCAGATATCGCGTTGATGGAGAAGGTGAATCTCTGGCTTGATTTTGATCCTCTCCCCCCCCCCCCCCCATCATCAGCTTCTAACTCACCATCATCATCAAAATTTGACTCATCTTGATCATAGGACTGCTGCTGATCATTACTCGGCATTGCTATAATGGTGGTGCTTTCACTTTCTTTAAAGAGATGCTAATTGCTTTCTCATCACAGGGTCTGTGGTGACCTTGACTTTCTTCTTCTCTGCGCTACGGCAGGACATGACAGACTGGTATTTTTGACTGGGTAGGGTTTATTAATGGAGGATTTTCAGACAAAGTTTGTGGCTTCCTCGTTGCTAATTTCCCAAATGGGTTTCACACTGTAATAAAAAACCCAGAAAGGATGAGGAGAAAATATTGAGTTTCGAGTCGTCAGTTACCTCCATCGATGGCGGTAATTAGGAACAGAATATGCTAATCACTGTATGTCGATTATGGAAGTTCCTTAATATATAAAAAAGAAGCACAACTGATCAAGGAATTCTCACAAAGTGGATTTTCAACTATTCCAGGTGCAGATTTCTATTATCGTTCATCGTGATTCCCAAGCAATTTCCTCAGAATCTGAAATCGTGTGACTTTAGTGGAGAGAAAGAGAGGGTGTCATTGAAATGCAGAGAAATAAAGTGAGTATATTTTTGAAATAACATAAAGCTAGGGAGAAAATTTCCGCGCCACATTTCTTTTTTGGGCTTTTAGAACTATTATCGTTATGGGCTTGTTTGACCTCCAAATCAGATACACTTAAACGGCGTCGTTCCCTTCGCCCCCCCACCCCCCAAAAGGCGGCGTCGTTTTGGTTTGTTACTTGTTAAGATTAACGCTCTCTCTCGCTTCTCTTCTTGCTAATTTGCTTTTTGCTTCTGAAGTCCAAACCCGAGTAAACCACTTTTTTAATTTTCTGTTCGGGCTTTCACACATATATATATCTCTCTCTCTGAAGGTATGGTTTAGCTCAGTCTTACTTTCAAAATTTTCAACCTTCATGTTCTCTCGAACTTTATACCTCGTTTTCTGTGTCATGGTTGACTATTTAGTGCCTGGTAGAGTTTCGTTGTACAGATGCATGCCATGTGTTTGATGAAACTCCACTTGGGTTTTTGGGTGATGGACGAAGTATACTTGGTGGTTTGTTGATTTTCGGTTCTGGGTATTGAATTTTAATGCTGGAATTGCCATCATAATTTGCCAAAATGGGGAATTGTGTACAAGAGAGAAGTGTCTTGTAGCATATTGCCTTCAGTTGTTCGGTTTTCTAGGACTTTGTATGGATTAGTAAAGATGAAATGACTGATGCTGTAATTCTGAGTTAAAACACATGCTGATTCTGAATTTTAGGGGAAAAAGTGGAGAGTTGAACATTGAGGAGAATGCTACCACAGAAATTGAAGAAGACTATCGCTGATAATCCAAAGAAGCTTGCTAATCTAATTGACCTTGTAAATCTTCCTTCAACACTCCGAGATTTTGTGGGTCAATCTCAGATTTCTCGTTTGGGCTGTTTCACGCGTGTTTGGTCGTATATCAAGGCCAACAAACTTCAGGTATAAATCCCCTCTTTTGTTTACATGTTTTTTCTAAAATATTACGAAACGGGCATCTTCATAAGATTGTTTCGTGTGAGTTCCTGATACCTTTTAAGGAAAAATGTTGTCTGTTTTTTGCATGTAGCTGCTCCGGCTTCGTCCGTGTCTTGCAGCATCTTTTGACGATTTGAAAATTGTATAATTTATTCTTTGTACTTGTTGATCTTGTTCTTCCATTTGGTACATCATTTGACACAGAATATGCCTAGCCATGAGCTTTAAGAATTTGAAACAATAGATCATCTTGATTTCTGATCGTTTGTTCAAATGAAACATTATATTTTTCAAGTAGGAAGTCTCATGACTTGTATTATGTTAGTTGAATAGATGGTTTTGATCTCATGATCCGCCAAACCTGATTCTAAAACTTTAGTAACATAAACCTACTTTATGGTTCTGTATAGTTGTATCTCTATGCTTCATTACAAGTTCATTGTCCCCGACAAAAAAATGTTTACTCATTATCTCTTGATTAGGATCCCAACAATAAGAATGTAGTCATCTGTGATGAGAAGTTGAAGAGCATTATGTTAGGCAAGCCTCAGATTGAGCTTGCTGAACTTCCTGACTTGATCAAACTGCATTTTCCCAAGGAGCAGAAGTAAGCTGCGTGGTTTGATATAGAGGTTTGCATATTCATTTCAAAGCCAGCCCTTTCATCATGTTGCCTCTGACATATATCTAGCTGCCTCATGTTGTAATAAGAAAGTGCTATTATGAAATCACCATTTTGGCTCCTGACTTTAAGTTGAGAATTTAACTTTTTACTGAAGTTGCCTGTATGTAGTATTTTCTTTTGCCATAAAATAATAACTTGAGCAAGTATGTTTCTTTGTTTTGAGCTTTATGCACATCTTCATGATAGAATTTTGAAAAAAATGATTGAGTAATAGTTCTCTGATCTTTTGGAGGTTTGGTTATTTCATGCAAATAACCTTATCAACCGAGAAGTACCTTCTATTATCCATCTTTCTCAGAAATTTCTAAACCATTTTTGCAAGAGAACACAAACAGTTGCAACTCCCACACCTGCCAAAAGATTGCAGATGTGGAGACGTTTCGTGGAGTTATCATGTGCAATCACTTGTCCAATGATCTCAGTTGATCAACCTGAGAATCCGATGTACTTTATATCAAGAAAAGAACACAGTGCTTGAAATATTTAGGGTTGGTTCTTGGTGAAGTTTGGAGAGAATCATATTGTAGATAAATTTGAATGTTGAGTAATTCATACTGTAATCTTATAGAAGATTATCTTGATAATAAAGCAATATTAATGAATGCAAAAGAATTTACCAACTGCCTAGGCTTAGTTTGTAACAAGTATGCATGCCAATTACAATTTACACTGTTGTCCAATCAAAGAAACTGAATTAAGCCACTTTTGAACACATGATCTGCTATGATGCTATTTGTTTTTTCAGTTGGGTGGAAGGAATCCCAAAACACGTACTCATTTGCATCTGAACATGTAAAAGGGTTCATTTTATCGCACAGGTAGCTCATCTCAAAGTATCCAGTTCCACAACATGCCGTCTTCACGTTTTGAAAACCTGTGATTGGGGATTTACTCAGAAAAGTCCACATTTATAGAAGTATAAATGTGCTAACATATTTTTATGCCGTTGTATGTGCCTGCAAGGCACAGTTAATGCATAAATCAATAAATGAGGTTAGTCTTGGTCAGAGTTTGGCCACCAGCTTCAATTATTAAACATAATACAAATCCAGACCTTGCATGTGTATTCGCTCTAAGTGAGACTCCTGTAAGTTCCAGAAGTATTGTAGATTCGGAAATAAGGTGCAGTTAGATCTTAGAGGATTGAATATTTATGGGTGTACCCTTACAGTGACTCTGATCATGCTTATAATGAGATGTTGTTTGGACCATAATTACAGAGGGAATGTTTGGAAAAACTTACCAAAGAACTCTGGCTTCTGAATGATTTGTAAGAGAATATCATAGGGATTTGAAAGCAGCAGCCTGATTGCAGCAAGCTCCTTGTTCAATGTCCTGACCAAGCCATCCAATTTGTCATTGAAATCTTTAGCTACGTCATTGTACTTCTCCACACAATTGTTTCTGAAGAAGATTCTTGTTGTTCTTTCCAGTGGTAAGCATCCCATTGGAGGAAGCCCAGCAATAGATATCTTCCGAGCTCCTAGCTTGTAAAGCTCTGTGATGAAATTTCTTGCAATTTCTGCCAGAAAATTCTGGTAGTCCTCCACGGAGAATTCTGACGATCTGTGTGGAAGAAGATAATAGTTTTCTAGGAAGTCATTGGTTCCAATACTTATCAGGTAAAGGGCTTCCCTAAGAATCTCATTTGCTCTTTCGTGACCTAGGTACTCTCTTAGCTTGTTCTGATACTCAGTGTAGTACTCCAGTTCCTTCCAAAGAGGTAGTACAGACTGCAGGCAAGTGTAAACGGAAAAAAAATAGATTGAGAGTATATCGTAGACAAGTTACTTGAAAGTTAAACCTCATTATTGTACAGCATTGTGCAGAGTTGATGCATAGATTGACTTACTAGCACATCTGAGGTAGCATTATCATAGCCAGTTCCCGCAGAAGCAAAGGAAACTCCAGTAGCAAAGTCTGTTATATTATACATTGGATCAAGATATGCAGGCACCGTCAATTTGATCCCAAAAGCTTCAGAAATGAAATCTGTAGGAATCCGACCATTCGAAAATCTTCCAGTAGGTTTCCCATCAATAAAATCCCGTCCATATGGTGCAAAATTGCTCTTCAGGATTGTCGAGATCTGGTTATTGTTTCCAGAATCCACCGAAGAGTCTCCAAACACAATTATGGCGGGAACTTTTGCATTGATCTCTGATAGTTGCAGCAGGAAATAAGTTAAGATAAAGCAAAGAATTGCCTTACATGATGCCATATTTTTCTATGTTGGTCTTTAATTCAGTGGTATATATTATTTCAGGCCCGAAGGTAGTTGGTGAGGCTGGTATGAATGATTCTCAGTTGAGTGGCAAAAGGAGAAAATACTTATTTTCTCTTGAGGTGGATGGGGCTTGTTCAGACTTGATAATCAACCTTTAAGTAGGTGAATTATAAATTTGTTCGTTGTATCAGAATTTAACAGAGGAAAGGTGTCATCGTGTCAAGACACCAAAAAGGGTTTTCCTGAGGTGAGTGATTAGCTTGGTTTTCAAACTTATACTTAAAATAGAAGCAAGTTGATAGCTTTTCCCTTTTGTTCTTTGGTAGAAAAGTCGGGTGTTTGGGCTGCATGTCTCTTCCTACTTTTCCCCCAGGCATTATGAACTTTAGTTTTACATGGTAGAGTTTTTGGTTGTACAATACATATCAAGTTATTTAAGACTTAGATGGAAATAAAATATATTTGAATGTCACCAAGGCAAATGTCTTGCAATGTCGAAACTCACTTCCTGAAGTTTAATTTGATCACAAAAATTCTATCAATAAATTTATAATTAAAGTTATATTTTAGTAAAGTATTAACTCGTTATGACTGTGATTATTTTAACTAAGAGAACTTGATTATTATTCAATGTTCTCTCGAGTTTAATGTAGCCATTACAATTACGATAACAAATTAATAAACTACGTTATGTGCCTGCTGAATCAAACCTCCGAACCAATTACCTTGGACTTAATCGTTACGCGGTACTGGCAGTGAGAGTTTCCTTGTTTGCGTGTGCTTGAGCTTGCATGAGAATTCAAGCTGTTATAACGCCAAAAGAGAACTAAAAACTTTTCTTTTCCCTTTTGGTAGTTTAGCACTTAATTTGCTCACTCAGAAAATTGGCCGCACGTCACGACTGAAATGCGAGCGATCTTCCAAGAAATAATCAATACTATAAATTTTTATTTTCATTTAGAGTATAAATATTATTTAAAATAAATAAATTATATTAATATTACATAAATATTTACCAATAAAATTTATTTTAATTCTCTGTTGATTAATTAATTATTTTTTATTTAAATTAATTCATGTATTTAGAGATTGATGTCTTTTTAATTTGTGGAACAGTTCAAATTATTTCACATATTAATTTTTTAATTTACAATAAAATTTAATATATAATACATTAATTAATAATGTTAATTATTAATTAAAAAAGAAAAATTAAATTAAAATTCTTTAAAAATACAATAATTAAATATGCTAAATTATTATTTTAACATATTTAAAATAAATTTGTGCTATTTGTAAAATTCATTTACTTTAAATTCCAAATTTCCAAACAAAGTCCAACTTGCAAAGCTCCTGTTTCTGGAGGCTTCTGCTGGACATAGAAAACCTATTTGGAGTCTAACTAGTGAGACCTACCAAGTTAACAAAAACGAGTACTCTATGTCTAAAACGACGCCGTTCTCGGGAAGGGCTAATTTCGCCACCTTACAAGAATTCCCAAAACACCGAACTTTCTTATTTTTTCTTTCCTATTCCGGTTCGGTTTCTTTCTCTCCAAGCACGTTGCTTTCCTCCTCGTCTCCTCTTGTTCCTCTCTCTCTCTCTCTCTCTCGCGCGCGGCCTGAGAAAGAAATTAGCCTCGAATATCTCTCATTTCTGAAAGATCTTCTAACTTTCTACCCTCTTTATTCCTCAACCTTCAGCCATGTCTGTGTCTAGGGTTTTGTCACGTGTCTCGAGCACTGTCTGTGGACGCACCTTGTTAATCTCTGCTCCGGCGAGGAATCAGCTTCCGATCCTCCTCCAGCAATCCCACTCTCTTGTAAATGAATCGCGAAGCAAGGTAGTTATCGAAATCTTCGGTTTTCCAAGTTCAGCTTATGAGCAGGGTTTTACCAGGGTTTAAGGTTCTATCTAAATTTGTCCCAAATCATTAATCTTGAATCCTTAATGCTTTTTAGTTCATTATACGTGTTTTCTTGGTTAGATATTGGTTATATGTCTGAACTTTTATACAGGGAATCGAAATTTATGCTTTTGGATGTTTTTGAATTTCACTTATAATTTTCTTGGGGTTTCCTACATTTTTCATAATTGATAAGATGCTTAAAGAACTCGAACATGTAAATAAACTAATATAGCTTATAAACTCGGATTGCAAACTTAGATAACTTATTTATAAAAAGACTTTATCAACTTATACACTCTTAAAGAGTTTAGAAACTCTATAATCTATAACTCCTATATTTCCTACATTTTAAGGCGAGCTCTAACTTTATTGGATTGGAAAGGAAACTCACGGGAAAAAAATTTGGATAAATTCCTGTTTAATGTCTCACCGTTGATAAACATGCTATCTGGTTTGATCTGACTGCAGTGGAAAGGTTTCAGTTAGTTAGCTAAAACATAAACATTAAATTGACAAGTGGGCTAGGAACCTGCTCCTGCTGAATTTTGTTTTTGGACCCAGATTGTTTGACAGTCCCAATAATTTCTCTCTTTGTTTGCTGCTAATTAGAAATTTAGACAGACTTCGGATATTGTTGGACGGTTTTGTTGCTATCACAAACAAGATTTTTTTCCCCTTCTATTTGACTAATATCTCATTTTCTGTGCCTATTTGGTTTGGGATGTGAAATTTACCATAAATGTTAATCTTTTTCACTCCAGGTTGTTGCGAGTCAGGTGTCCCTGTTCCACCATTCAACATTGAATTCCACCATTTTTCAACGTTTTGGGATGTCTTCATCTGCATCCCCTGAACGTAATGAAAAAGAGAATGGAACGGGTACAGAACCCACAAAAACCAATGGAGATGCAGGTGGAGAGCAGGGTCCAGAAGAGGCTAAAGTGACTGATCAAACAAAAGAATCAGGTCTTGGTTCTAAATCTCAACCTTCCATGTCTCAATCTGTCAAAAGAAGGAGAAGAGGTACTAAACGCATTGCATTTTCTGATTCAGATTCAGAGAGTGATGGTGACTTGTCAATGGATGATATGGTGAAACTTTTGGCGGAGAAAGAAGAGCTTCTGACGATTAAGCAAAAAGAAATTGAACAAATGAAAGACAAGGTTCTTCGTACCTATGCTGAAATGGAGAATGTCATGGACAGGACAAGACGGGAAGCAGAAAACTCTAAAAAATTTGCCATACAGGTTCTTTTACTTATATTGATGAATGACAGAATATCCAATGAATTTTGAATACTGAGTTAAGAATTTCATATTAATACTTGTTTTTAAATGTAATGCAGAATTTTGCGAAGAGCCTGTTGGATGTAGCAGACAATTTGGGAAGAGCTTCTTCGGTTGTCAAAGAGAGTTTCTCAAAAATTGATGAGTCTAAAGATACTGTTGGAGCTGCAGCACTGCTAAAGACACTTCTTGAAGGGGTTGGAATGACTGAGAAACAGCTTGGAGAGGTATAAAATGAAATACAAACCATGAAGGCTTCAAGTCTGTATCTTCATTATATTTTTATTCCCTAATTTCACATATGAATGATGTTAGAAAAAGTAGAATATCTTTTTAAATCTGAGCATGTTCTAAAATGTGGGTCTTCATATTCATTTGCTTACAGGCTTTCTAATTTCTTGGCTTTCAGGTATTTAAGAAGTTTGGAATAGAAAGGTTTGATCCTTTAAATGAGCCATTTGATCCAAATAGGCATAATGCAGTATTCCAAGCTCCCAATGCCTCCAAGCCCCCAGGCACAGTTGCTGTCGTTCTGAAGGTAATTTACTAATTGGCTCAGATGTTTCTTTGCAGTTAACTATATCGTAACTGCTACTAGTCACTGGAACCTAATTCATGTTAGGCATTTAGTATGCGATTTTTTTTTAATAAGGCATTTAGTATACAATTACATGAATTATTGAGCACTTTAAAACTATCCAAGGCGATATATTTGTTCTTATTCTAGTTTCTTCCGTGATTATGTATAGTTTAGTTAAAGGCGCCATTTGTAATTTGTTTGGTTGAATACAAAGTGACTGGGATAATTACAGGCCTAGCTGATACTTGGTACCAAAGGGCTATGATCTTGAAATATTTACTCTTAAGATAGAATATAAATGATAAATTTAATATATTCCTGATAGTTTACAATTTATTGATTAATATGCTGTCAAAACTTGAGATCTTGGTTTTGAGGCTTACTTTTTGTAAATTTGTTGTGTGTTCTGGTTCTTTGTATGTTCATTTCCGATTATATCTGCATGGTTCATACCCAATTCTGCATTTGTTTGTTAAGGTTTACTTTAAACAATAAATTGAATACTTCACTAGTAATTTGAACTTTTGAAAAATTGATTACAACAAAATTTACAAGCCATGGATATTGTTTATGTTTTGCAGTCAGGATACATGCTCTATGATAGAGTTATCCGGCCGGCTGAAGTTGGCGTAACTCAAGAAAT